GGGTGTAGAGGCTCTTTGATCAGGGTGTAGAGGCTCTTAGATCAGGGTGTAGAGGCACTTAGATCAGGGTGTAGAGGCACTTAGATCAGGGTGTAGAGGCACTTAGATCAGGGTGTAGAGGCACTTAGATCAGGGTGTAGAGGCACTCAGATCAGGGTGTAGAGGCACTCAGATCAGGGTGTAGAGGCACTCAGATCAGGGTGTAGAGGCACTCAGATCAGGGTGTAGAGGCACTCAGATCAGGGTGTAGAGGCACTCAGATCAGGGTGTAGAAGCACTTAACCCGCCAAACACACGACTAAACTACGAAGTTGCTGCAACGGTCGAACAAGTTATAACAACTTTCTAACACGTCATAAAAAAAATTATAACAACACGTAACAACTTTGTTACAAGTTGTCAGAAGGGAACAATAGGGACCGTTCCGTTGAGTGTTTGCAGGGATAGATCAGGGCCACCTTGAGGTTAACAGAAGAGGCCTCCAGGTAGACTGGACGGAGAGACCGTAGGACGTCGCTGTACACAGTCTGACGTAGGTGTTACATTCGGAGTGATCAGGTACCCTTCTTTCGTGAGAGGATTTTCAGGGCTTAGCGTCCCCGCGGTCCGGTCCTCGACCAGGCCTTCTTTTTGTTACACATCCCCAGGAATCAGCCCCTAACAGCTGTCTAACTCCCAGGTACCTATTTACCGCTAGCTGAACAGACGCATCAGGGTGAAAGAAACTTTGCCCATTTTTGTTTCCGCCTCAACCGGTGACCGAACCTGGAACCTCAGGACTACGAATCCGAAGCGCTATCCACTCAGCTGTCAAGTGCCAGGAGGTCTGGTAAAAATACCCATTATATTAATGAGAAATTCCCCGTTGCGGGAACACTGTACCTGCTGATATTGTTTAAGATGCAGCTACTGGGAACAAAACGTTCCAAGTAGCACGGGCTATGGTGAGCCCGCAGTGGACTTACCTGGCACAGGAGCGGGACTGTTAATTTTTTGGCACGCTGTTCCTGCTGATGTAGCCTCAATATATATTTTCTTTTCCTCCCTACAGACATGAAGCTCTGCACTGAAGTGGGAATGACTGATGCTTTTTGCAAGGCTAATAAGGCAATAATTAAGACCTGCAAGGATCAAATCCTGAGCGCCAGTCACACCCGGCCCACCATTCAAACCGCCGTCGAATGTCTGCACACAGTGGGAGATATTACCGTCCCAGATGACGACACAGGTGAGTGCCAGCATGCTGTCCACTCGTGGGCCCTCAAGCTGTTAAAGCTTAGTCACGTTATCTTAATGCTTGGCCTTAGGTGCTCCTTCGCACTGTCTCTGGATTACGTCGTCTTGGATATATTGCCTCGTACAAAGTGTTCATTTTTTGCGTCGTGGATCAGCCCACCTAGGTAGAATCAATTCTAGAATGCCCCACACAGGGACACAACTCGTGTTATATTGTATGGTCAATAGTAATAAGGTGATGATGGTCATAAATACCCAACAGTCCCCCCTAACTGACAATCAAGTTCCCCAAACCAGACAAGTAACCGGTTTCTTCTTTTCACAGCTACCACCCATCTTATCAATCAGTACAGGCAAAGAGTCGTGACCATTCAGGATTTGTGCTCCGACGCTGAAGAAATGATAGCCTGCTTGTGGCAAAATACAGAAATGGTGAGTCCTTTTGGGGCTTTATTGAACGAGCGGGCTTGTGTGTGTGTGTTTGTATTTGTGTGTATTTTCCATTCGTGTCTGCAAAATAGAGCTATTTTGTTGTATTATGATATATCTCTTGGACCCCGCCTTTCTAATAAATATATTTTTCCTCTATTATATCTACTACATATAATTCTCTCTAACACACGCACACACACACACATCCCCAAGAAGCAGCCCGTAGAAGCTGTCTAACTTCCTGGTACCTATTTACTGCATGGAGAACAGGGACAAGAGGGCGAAAGAAACTCGGCTCATTTGTTTCCGTCTCCGCCGGGAATCGAACCCGAGCAATTAGGACTACGATCCCCGAGCGCTGTCCACTCAGCCGCGAGGCCTCTCCACTATGTGTGTGTGTGTGTGTGTCATTCAATTTGTCTGCAAGATTTGAGATTCGGGTCAAATATGACACGAGTCTAGTTTGTAGAGGTTGACAGGAAAATAAGTGGATTTGTTCTTATGTAAACTCACTAACTAACCTGTTCTTATATGTCCGACGATCAGTTTGGTGTTAAAAGCAACAAACAATTTCCAGTAGTTGTTTTTGCTTAATCCAGTAATTCATATTTATCACTTATAGGTTCAGCTGATGAAGGACTGCATTGCAAAAGCTGGCAAATAAATGCCCCACCGAGACGTCCAATACCACAGAGAGATCTCCAACACCACAGACATGTCCAACTCCAGAAAGTCGTCAAACACCACAGAGACGTCTGAAGAGCATCATAACTCGATGTAGAACTTCTGAAGAAAACTTAAGAATTTCCCGACTACCTTTCCTGAATTACCGGAGAAAACATTTAATTTTGAGTTCGACAAAATAGAAATGAACAGTGAGAATAACGCCTTCAGAACAACACCAACAGCCATGGTAACACCACCAACAACAATGACATCAACACCATGCTGGGCCGGAGGCTACTATATCTGCTGCATATATTTCTCTTTTAAAATTACATTACTTTAAAAAAAATTGAAATATATAATTCATATAACCAATTTACTTGTGTTTTTGATTAAATAAATTAATTGGCAAGTTCGGGTTTTTTCGACATTCACCGTTCAAAAATATCCTCAATTCATTAAATTCACTGTGAATAATGAACTGTAGATAACAAAATACATTAAGTAATAAGAATACGATGAGTTTAATTTTGTGTGAATCTCAGAACAAATTTGTCTAATAAGCAAATAGTTTATTCTATCAAATAAATTGTTTGATGTGACTGAGTCTGGAAAATGGCTGGTCTGTGATCATTTGATCTATATTCGCAAAAGAAAGAAGACAATTAGAGTTTCTTAAGAATAGCAAATATACTTAAGTAATATCAATCATAAGTGCTTTACTATATCTTAAATATTGATTCAAATTTAGAACATTTTATCTTTTGGTGACCAGGAAGATAAATGGCGATAGTTTCTTATCTCCCTTCCTCTTTGTTCCTCTCTTTTGACCTTCTTACTGCAGACGATGGTGTGCTGAGAACAGAGGAAGGGAAAACTTTGGCCCAAGATGAGTGGTGAGACACGAAGGAACTAACACACAGGAGAAGGAAGAATCAAATAAAAATAGGAAGAAAGTACGAAAATACTTCAGAGATGAAGGGGGAGCCGGAAGGGAGAGAGACGAAGGGGAGCCGGTCGGCCGAGCGGACAGCACACTGGACTTGTGATCCTGTGGTTCCGGGTTCGATCCCGGGCGCCGGCGAGAAACAATGGGCAGAGCTTCTTTCACCCTATGCCCCTGTTACCTAGCAGTAAAATAGGTACCTGGGTGTTAGTCAGCTGTCACGGCCGCGGGGACACTAAAATCCCCGAAATCATCTCAAGATAACCTCAAGATGACTGCAGGCGAGAAAGAAAACAAATGAAAAATTACAAACTCGGAGCCTGATAGAAATTCTTGGAAAAAAAACCGTATCTAACAAGACTGTAACAGGAGACGGAAGAAGCCGATTTATACTGATTGTAGTTGGAGAACTGTGAGCAGTTTACCACAGTTGGTGACACGAGGCAAGGTCTACACAGTGGGGAGATGGCCTTCTACATGTCACAGGGGGGGCTCAGTAAGCCTGCCACAGTGTCACAGGGGAGTCAATAGGCCTGCTAGAGTGTCACAGGGGATCAGTTGGCCTTCTACTGTGTTACGGGGGGTCAATAGGCCTGTTACAGTGTTATAGGAGGTCATTAGGACTGCTACAGTGTCACAGGAGGTCCGTATTCTGACACATAAGCTCACCATACCACACGTTTCGCTCCCCCAGCTTGGTGCCTTCTTTTGATGATTACTTTCGCTCATCACAGGTCAAACGTCCATTGGTGGCGCACTGGTAACCGCCCCGCGTCTCGCGACCGACGTACCAAATTCGAATACTGGCCAAGGTAGATTATTTGGACGTCAATACTTAACTTTTAGCCTCTGTTCACCCAGCAGTAAATGAATATCTGGTTGTTAACCAATTAGTGGGTGGTGTTCCAGGGAACACTTACGGGGCAAGGTTTACCATGCGCCATGGGAAGGGAAAGCCCTCAGCCCGCTAACAGGAGTCAGCAGTCGGCTGATCCTGTACTCACCTGTGTAAAACAAATGAGTTTAAACAAATATCCAGAAGACTGTTGATAAACACTTGAGGTCGGACGAAACAAGAGACTGATTTATAGATAATAACAACGCAAGTTGGAATGATCGTCTGGAAACTCGGTATTATAATTAAATTGTTCCAGTGCCATTTCTACCGAGCAGTTGGGAAGGAGCTTAGGGAGTCGCCATGTGTGTTGGCTGTATGAGAAAGATCACTAGATCATGTGTAATGTACACATAAGTTACATACTGATACATACTAGCAAGCTTGTTTCCAGATATATTTGTACAAATATTTATGAATTAAATCTGTCATGTTTTTTTCCCCAAATAATAAAACGGTAAACAAATATAATATACGAATGATTGTCTGACAACTTCACGTATAAATTAAGGCTAATTCCAACATTTATCTCCGATACAACATGGCTTGATTTCGTCCAAGCATTTTGTGACATGACTTTATATATGAGCATTCATGTCTCCACAAAATCTGCTTATTGTAATGTCACAATAATACAATTAATTTACTAATTCAACAAGCACTATTTCTGAAAACAGATGTGAGCAAGAACAGCGCACCCACCAACAGGGACAGACGCAGTCAGCAGCAGGATGTGGTGATTGTCAAGATCTGCCTGTCATCATGACGACGCCTCCGGAAGCCTACAATAATAATAACGCAAATCATTCGGGCGATCAAGCAGCCGATCTTGTGGTATATATAGAGTACCCGGCCACCACTGCTACACACATCCTCCAGCCTCTTCCCTTGTGGTGTTCATCTCTGTACAAGCCAGTTCTCTCCCTTGGTAAGTCTGGAAGTGCTGTTCAGATGTTTCTTACCCTTAAGCTTCTGTCTTAGAGAAATGACCTGCTGAAACAAGTGAGCTCTGCAGGTAAAGTAAACATTGCTCCTACAGGTGCGTCATGTCATCACCAGGTCCTGGCCTTGTAAGTATTCCTCTGTGTTGTGTTATACTGTTTTTTTCCCTACAGACAAAAAGCAGCGCGTTGATCGGCTTCACTCACGACAGAATCAATATAATGCACCAAATCGCTCACAATATGCAGGAAAACTAATATTATGATAAAGTTTTGTACTTTATTGAGGAGCTTTTGTGTGGGTTAATAGACCATGTGTATTTAGTCTCATTCATATTTATTTATAAATTTATTTAAGCAGTGGAAGTTGACAATAATATAATTAACTTTCAACATTAATTAAACATAAGATAAATGAGTGCAAATCATTTATTTGTCACAAAACAAATAATTTTGTGACTCTGAGTCACAAAACTTAACTAGTTTCCAATTATCTGGAACATGAAGCCTGTTCGGGTTGTCGAGGTGCTTGAAGTCTAGGCCAACGACTGACATTCAACAGGATGCAATCCACAACATTAGACTAACTCTCAGCGACTTGTTTACTGCTTGGTAAAACAAAGACACCAGGTTCCCTACAGAGGTCTGTAGGTCACGTATCCCCACACCTATCCTAGGTGTGGGGATACGTGCCCAAACGTCTAGCTCGGGTATTTAACTCTGAGCAAATCGATTGTCCAATTCAGTAGTCCCTGTGATGCAGTTGTAAAGCACTCGTCTGGTGCTTCACGAGTGCTCTATCATGGGTTCGTATCTTGGCCAGGGAAGATTAACTGGGTGCCACTCTTTAACTATAGCCTCTGCTCACCCATCAGTCAATGGGTACCTGGTTGTTACACGATTTGGCGGGTCGTTTTCCGGGGAAATATAGTATTAAGGACCTGCCCGAAACTCAATGCGCGCTAGTGGCTTTATAAGAATGTAAGAACTCTTGTATATATTCATAAAAACATTAAAAGTTATAAGACGACTGCGCTAAATATTATAAATATTACCAAAATAGCACCCAAAATATTATTAATGGAACCCAAAATATTATTAATGGGACCCCAATATTACACTGTACCTGGTGGATACCAACGGGTCGTGTCGCTTTTATAAACGTGATGAATAATACAATCTGTTAATAATGCAGAAGATAAGCATCTGTCCGCTGTGCTACTTGGCCTCCCTACGTGATCAGAAGAAGGTAAAAGGCTACATCTGAAGATCTTATCTCAACCTTCCATGACACCATCACCAGCCAGTCTTTCCTAAACTGAAAACTTATTCCAGAGACCAAAGTTCCGGGGAAACACCAAAAGTCAAATTGGGGATTTCATAACCCGCAAATTTCTGGTTCTGGGAACCCAAATGTGTTAGTCTTAGCAGTTAGGATGTTACAGTTATGAGGATCGTGTACAGTGAAAATTTATATTTAGTGAAACTGTGTTTGAGGTAAGTATACTGTTTGTGAACGTGTGTGTCCTATTTGTGCTGTCCTACACTTCTCATGAGTGTAGAATGTACAACAGTCTGTTATCTCCTGTTTCAACAGTCCAGCAATATTTGCATTGAAACAGCCACTCAATTTTGCATTATAAAATTTTGTCACCTGTATAAATCTGTTCCAATAATTGTTACCACGACACGATATTGTTACTTAACTTCACCACACTAACTCATCGTTGCTCCTCCAACAGCTGCATCATGAAGCTGATGACATCTGTGTTAGTGACGGTGGTCCTGACCTTGCTGGTCGCCGGGACCTCTACCGCTGGCCCTGGCGGCTTCCCCTTCGAGAAGTGCTTCAGTGAAGCACAAAAACAGGAATTCAGTAAGTTGATATTACATAAGTAGAAGAACTTAGCTAGCGGGTTAGCAGCCTTGCAGGAACGTAAATCAGTACGAACACTGTTGTGTGTCTTGTTGTTACTTTGTAAATGTTTACAAACAAAAATATAGATGTCTTGTAGAAAACTTTAGCGAGAGAAGCTTGAGAATGCAGCGAGTGTGAGTGACATTTGGTAGTATAAAGTTGTCTTGCGAGAAATGTTAATGTTAGTATCACTTTAAGACACATCTTTATAATTTGTTAAGGTGAAGAGCGGCTTCGTCCAGGTCTGATCCCGTCAGCTGCTGCTCGTATTTATATTTATACAGCATGACGGGTTGGTGTAGAGGCTCTTTGATCAGGGTGTAGAAGCACTTAGATCAGGATGTAGAGGCACTGAGATTAGGACCACCTTGAGGCTTACTGAAGAGGCCTCCCGGTAGAATGTTGGATCTGCAAGACTGTAGAACGTCGCTGCACACAATCTGACGTAGGTGTCACAGTCGGCCTGATCAAGTACCCTTGAGTACAGAAGTCTGTTAAAAATGCCCATTATATTAATGAGAAATTCCCCTTGCGGGAACACTGTCCCTGCTGATGTAGCCTCAATATATTGTGTTCTCTCCCTCTCTACAGAGAAACAGCTCTGCACTGATCTGGGACAGACTGAAGATTTTTGCAAGAGTAATAAGCAACTACTCAAGAACTGCAAGAATCAAATCATGAGCGGCCCTAACGCCCAATCCATCATTCAAGCCTCTGTCACCTGTCTGCAGACAGTGGCAAATATTACCGTCCCGGCTGCCAACACAGGTGAGTGCCAGCATGCTGTCCACTCGGGGACGTGAGGGCCCCCGAGTCCACACGCCCCCCTACGTTATCTTAGAGCTTGGCCTTTGGTGCTCCTACGCACTGTCTCTGGGTTACGTCGTCTTGGATATATTGCCTCGTACAAAGTGTTCTTTTTTGTGTCATGGATTAGCCCACCTAGGCAGAATGAATTATAACACCGCCCCACACAGGGACACAACTTGTGCTACATAGTTTAGTCAATAGTAATAAACTGATTATGGTCATAAATACCCAACAGTCCCATCTTACGCGTAACTATCACGTTCCCAAAACCAAACAAGTAACCGGTTTCTTCTTTTCATAGGTACGGGCGAACTTTTCAAGCAGTTCATGAAAACAGTCGTGGCCAATAATCAGGATTTGTGCTCCAAGGGTCAAGACATCATGACCTGCTTCAAGCAGAATACGGGCATGGTGAGTACTTTTGTTTTGGCTTTACTGAACGAGCGGGTGTGTGTGTGTGTGTGTACTAACATACTTGTGTTTGCGGGGGTTGAGCTCTGGCTCTTTGGTCCCGCCTCTCAACTGTCAATCAACTGATGTACAGAATGTGTTTGTATGTGTGTGTGTGTGTGTGTGTGTCATTCAATTTTCATTTTCAAGATTTGAGCTTCGGGGCAAATATGACAAGAGTCTAGTTTGTAGAGGTTGACAAGAAAATGTGTGTGTGTGTTCTTACGTAAACTCACTAACCTATTGTTTTATGTCCGACGATCAGTTTGGTGTTAAAAGAAACTTACAATTTCCAGTGGTTGTTTTTGCTTAATCCAGTCATTTCATATTTATCACTTATAGGCTCAGCTGATGAAGGACTGCATAGCAAAAGCTGGCAAATAAATGACCCCATCGAGACGTCCAATACCACAGAGAGATCTCGAACACCACAGACATGTCCAACTCCAGAAAGTCGTCAAACACCACAGAGACGTCTGAAGAGCATCATAACTCGTTGTAGAACTTCTGAAGAAAACTTAAGAATTTCCCGACTACCTTTCCTGAATTACCGGAGAAAACAATTAATTTTGAGTTCGACAAAATAGAAATGAACAGTGAGAATAACGCCTTCAGAACAACACCAACAGCCATCGTAACACCACCAACAACAATGACATCAACACCATGCTGGGCTGGAGGCTTCTCCCTGCTGGGCCGGAGGCTACTATATCTGCTGCATATATTTATCTTTTAAAATTACATTACTTTAAACAAAATTTGAAATATGTAATTCATAAATCCAATTTACTTGTGTTTCTGATTAAATAAATTAATTGACAAGTTTTTTGTTTTCGACCTTCACCGTTCAAAAAATGTCTTCAGTTCAGTAAATTCATTGTGAATAATGAACTGTAGATTGCAAAATAAAGTAAATTATAAGAAAACGAAGAGTTTAAGTGTTTTGTTTATCTCAAAACAAATGACATGGTCAATTGAGCAAATGGTTTGGTCGATAAAATAAATTGTTTGATGTGATTGAGTCTGGAAAATGGCTGGTCTGTGATCATTTTATCTATATTTGCAAAGGAATGAAGACAATTAGACATTCTTTAGAATATCAGACAAATATAGTTAAGTAATATCAATCATAAGTGCTTTACTGTATTTTAAATATTTACACAAATTTAGAACACTATCAGGAGGATACAAGGAGATAGATTCTTATCTCTCTTCCTCTTTCTTCCTCTCTTTTCACCTTCTTACTGTAGACGATGATGTGCTGAGAACAGAGGAAGGAAAAATTTTGGCCCAAGATGAGTGGTGAGACACGAAGGAACAAACACATAGGAGAAGGAAGAATAAGATAAAAGAAGGAAGAAAGCACGAAAATACTTGAGAGATGACTGCAGGCAAAAGAGGAAATAAGTGAAAAATTACAAACTCGGAGCCTGATAGGAATTCATGAAAGAAAACTTATCTGATAAGACTGTAAAAGAAGGAAAAAGCCGATTTATACTAATTGCTGCTGGAGAACTGTGAGCAGTTTACCACAGTTGTGTGAGCAGTTTACCACAGTTGTGGAGATACGAGGCAAGGTCTACCACACTGGAGTGACGCGGCAACTACGCTAAAAAAAAGTAATTGCTTCACTTATATTTGGTGAGTTTAGAGTATTGAGTTAAGGTGTTACGTATGTATGAAGAGCGTCTCTTTTTGTTCAAATAACAATAAAACGATAGATAAGTGTAGTAGACAAATGACTGATTAACTCCGTGCCTAAAAGTCGGTCTGTCACGTGTTCGTCACTACAGTTGAATAACAACCAAATATAAATTCAGGCTTATTCCCAGATTTATTTATAAAACAACATTGCTTGATTTCTTCCAAAGCATTTAATGACACGACTTTATATTTCAGCAATATATATATGTATATATATATATATTTTATATATAATATATATAACATATATATATAATATATATATATAATATATATATAATATATATATATAATATATATATACGGGGGTACCACCTCTGGTGCAATTATAGGGACCCACAGCCTCAGAGAAGGGAACACAGAGCATTCAGGGAAAACTTGCCATTCAACTCTGAATACGTAAGAGTGTTCGCTTCTCCTACCACCCCACTTCCTTTTACGGTGTACACTTTATTATGCAAGTTATACAGTTACATATCTGATTTTATACAAAACATTAACATTAAGAGGACATACAAAAAATGTTCGCTTCCTAGAGGCTGTAGATTTCCTCGAACTCCTCCTCTATATATTATAATATATATATATATATATATAATATATATATATATATATATATATATATATATATATATATATATATATATATATATATATATATATATATATATATATATATATATATATATATATATATATATATATATATATATATATATATATATATATATATATATATATATATATATATATATATATATATATATATATATATATATATATATATATATATATATATATATATATATATATATATATATATATATATATATATATATATATATATATATATATATATATATATATATATATATATATATATATATATATATATATATATATATATATATATATATATATATATATATATATATATATATATATATATATATATATATATATATATATATATATATATATATATATATATATATATATATATATATATATATATATATATATATATATATATATATATATATATATATATATATATATATATATATATATATATATATATATATATATATATATATATATATATATATATATATATATATATATATATATATATATATATATATATATATATATATATATATATATATATATATATATATATATATATATATATATATATATATATATATATATATATATATATATTCACATAATATATAATAAAATATTCACAAAACCGCTTGATGTAATTTCACAATAAAACAATTAATCTGCAAATTCAACGCGAACTAAATCGTAAGACTTCCTACTATTTCTGAAAAATAAGTGTGAGGAGCGTACCGCCGCATACGCACACGCACAGCAAGAACCGGGATGCGGTGGTTATTGAGGCCTGTTTTTACTACGACGCTGCCCCCTGAAGGTCAATGTGGTTTTATTATATAATTATGAAGGCTGTCAGTGAAGTGATCTTGTGGTATATATAGAGGATCCGGCCCACCACTGCTACACACACATCCTCCAGTCGCTTCTCCTGTGTTCATCTCCGTACAAGCCAGTTCTCTCCCTTGGTAAGTCTGACAGTGATGTTCAGTTGTTCCTTACCATTAGGCTTCTGTCTTAGAGAAATGATCCGCTGCCACAGGTGAGCTCTGCAGGTAACTTCTGCATTTGAAGATAACAAGTTTTCTAGCAAGTTAACATTGCTTCTACAGGTACGCCATCCCGCCAAACACACACCGAAACTACGACGTTGGTACACGTTCGAACAAGATTTAACACCTCCTAACCAGTGCAAGTTGTAACAACGTTCTAATACGTCATAAACACGTTAAGCCAAGATGTAACAACTTTATTACTGTAACAAGCGGAAAATAGAGACAGTTTCGGTTTGTGTTTCCAGGGATATCATCAACAGGTGCTGGACTTGTTAGTCTTCCTGCGTGTTATGACATACCGAAGGCGCGTTCCTGGGTTTCACTCACGATAGAATCCATGAATTGTATCGGACCTTTAAAATTACCTACGTCCTAGAGGTTGTACCAAAATCTTTCCGATTTGGAGGAAAAATAAATATTATGATCAAGTTTTGTACTTCATTGAGGAGTTTCTTGTGCGAGTCAATAAGCCAGATGTATTTACCTTTATCCGTATGTTCTTTCCGCAGTGGAACGTTGTTCTCTGTTGACAATAATGTTAATAACTTTAATTAGCTAAAACTAACAAACAAATAAGTTCAAATATATTAGCTCACAAATCATGTCTCGCTTCTCACTGTCTGGGACAGGAAACCTTTTCGGGTTATCGAGGTGCCAACGACTAGTGCCATAGCACTAGTCTAGTCCAACGACGGACATTCTACAGGATGCAACCCGCAACAGTCGACTAACTCCCAGCGATCTGTTTACTGCTCGGTGAAACAAACACACCAGGTGTGGGGATACGTACCCAAACGTCAACCTCAAGTATTTAGCTCTGATCCAATCGGTTGTGAGCCGGCAGCGCTAGCTACTGCGCTACAGCACCCCAATATTACACTGTACCTGGTGGATACCAACGGGTCGTGTCGCTTTTTGTAAACTTGATGAATAATACAATCTGTTAATAATGCAGAAGATGAACATCTGTCCGCTGTGCTACTTGGCCTCCCTACGTGATCAGAGGAAGGTAAAAGGCTACATCTGAAGGTCTTATCTCAGCCTTCCACCATCACCAGCCAGTCTTTCCTAAACTGAAAACTTATTCCAGAGACCAAAGTTCCTGGGAAACACCATAAGTCAAATTGGGGCTTTCATAACCCGCAAATTTCGGGTTCTGGGAACCCAAAAGTGTTAGTCTTAGCAGTTAGGATGCTACAGTTATGAGGATCGTGTACAGTGAAAATTTATATTTAGTGAAACTGTGTTTGAGGTTAGTATTCTGTTTGTGAACGAATGTGCTCTTTTGTGCTGCTCATGGGGGCCCTTCACTACCCATGGGTGTGATGTACAACAGTCTTATCTCCTGCATTTCAACAGTCCTGCAACAGTTGCATTGAAACAACCACTCAGTTCTGCTTATAGCATTTTGTCACCTGTATAAATGTATTCAAATATATGTTACCACGACACGATATTGTTACTTAACTTCACCACACTAACTCATCGCTGCTCCTCCAACAGCTGCATCATGAAGCTGATGACATCTGTGTTAGTGACGGTGGTCCTGACCTTGCTGGTCGCCGGGACCTCTACCGCTGGCCCTGGCGGCTTCCCCCTCGAAGCATGCTTCAGTGGAGCAAAAAGACGGGACTTCAGTAAGTTGATATTACATAGGATGAAAAACTTAGCTAGCGGGTTAGCGGCTTTGCTGGAACGTAAATCAGTACGAACACTGTTGTGCGACTCGTTGTTACTGTGTAAATGTTTACAAAAAAAAATGTAGCTGTCATGTAGAAAGCTTTAGCGAGAGAAGCTTGAGAATGCAGCGAGTGTGAGTGGTATTTGGTAGTATAAAGTTGTCTTGCGAGAAATGTTAATGGAAGTATGCCCCTTATATTAATGAGAAATTTCCAACTTGTTGAAACACATTCCTATTTTGTCCTCAATATATTGTGTTCTCTCCCTACAGAGAATCGGCTCTGCAGTGACCTGGATCAGACTGAGGAATTTTGCAGGACTTATAAGCCACTACTTAATAATTGCAAAGATCAAATCATGAACGGCACTCATGCCCAATCCATCCTTCAAGCCGCCGCCGACTGTCTGCACACAGTGGCAGATATTACCGTCCCGGCTGCCAACACAGGTGAGTGCCAGCATGGTGTCCACTCGTGGGCCCTCAAGCTCTTAAAGCTTAGTCACGTTATCTTAATGCTTGGCCTTAGGTGCTCCTTCGCACAGTCTCTGGGTTACGTCGTCTTGGATATATTGCCTCGTACAAAGTGTTCTTTTTTTGTGAATTCGATCAGAAAGCCAAGGCATAAAATGTGTTATTTCCATGTATTTTCCCGCAAAAAAACTTGCAGCTACACGGGTCTAAGAAACAGGCTTATTAGGATATCACTCCGATGATTTATATTACTCTTGTCATTAGGGAACCAACCCCCTACAAGTGTTATTATCTGGACGATAATTTATATTACAAATTTTCAACGAAATTCTAATGAATATTATACGAGAGACGTTTGTTGTCGTTTCCCATCTCGTTATCAATAACGTCTCACAGAAGCAGTGTTGCTCCTCTCGACCATCGCCCATGATGGCGTGGATCTACAACAATTCACTGTAGAGGCGATCACATGTAGGGGAGTCATTTATGTATTTGGTCGAGGCATCATCTACGTTATGTTGCTCTGGTTTGCAGTAGAAGTATATTTATCATTGCTTATAACACCGTGTAACACTTATTGGGTCCCTAGGTAGTGAGACTGTTTTCTAAGACTCCGGAGGCATTATTAGTTATGAAACAGAACCACACAGGAACACAACTTATGTTATATAGTGTGATTAATAGTGATAAGGTGATAATGGTCATAAATACCCAACAGTCCCGTCCTACGCTTGACAATCAAGTTCCCAAAACCAGACAAGTAACTAATTTTCTTCTTTTCACAGTGAACGTCGATGTATTCACAGAGTACCTACAGTCAGTCGTGACCAATGTTGCAGATTTGTGCTTCAAGGTCGAAGATCTGGTGACCTGCTTCAAACAGAATACGGGCATGGTGAGTCTTTTTTTAGAGATTTATTGAACGAGCGGGCGTGTGTGTGTGTGTGTATAAGTGTGAGTGTATAAGTGTGTATATGTATGTCGTTCAATTTGTCTGCAAGATTTGAGCTTCTGGTCAAATCTTAATATGACAAGAGTCTAATTTGTAGAGATTGACAGGAAAATACGTGTGTGTGTGTTCATACGTAAACTCACTAACCTATTCTTATATATCCGACGATCAATTTAGTGTTAAAAGAAACATACAATTTGCAGTGGCTATTTTTGCTTAATCCAGTAATTTCATATTTATCACTTATAGGCTCAGCTGATGAAGGACTGCATAGCACAAGCTGGCCAATAAATGCCCCACCGAGACGTCCAATACCACAGACAGATCTCCAACACCACAGACATGTCCAACTCCAGAAAGTCGTCAAACACCACAGAGACGTTTAGAGAGCATCAGAAAACAAGAAAAAAAAACATAAAATACAGTAAACAATAAAAATATGAGTTTAATTTCTTGTTTATCTCAGAACAAATGACTTGGTCTAATCAGCAAATAGTTTATTCTATAAAATAAATTGTTTGATGTGATTGAGTCTGGAAAACGGCTGGTCTGTGATCATTTGATCTATATTTGCAAATGAAAGAAGGCAATTAGATTTTCTAAAGAATAGCAGACAAATATAATTAAGTAATATCAATCATAAGTGCTTTACTATATTTTAAATATTTACAGAAATTTAGAACACTTTATCTTTTGGTGACCAGGAAGATACATAGCGATAATTTCTTATCTCCCTTCCTCTTTGTTCCTCTCTTTATTCCTCTCTTTTCATCTTCTTACTGCAGACGATGGTGTGCTGAGAACAGAGGAAGGGAAAACTTTGGCCCAAGACGAGTGGTGAGACACGAAGGAACTAACACACAGGAGAAGGAAGAATAAGATAAAAGTAGGAAGAAAGTACGAAAATACTTAAGAGATGACTGCAGGGGAAAGAGGAATCAAGTGAAAAATGACAAACTCGGAGCCGGATAGGAATTCTTGGAAAAAAACGTATCTGGCAAGACTGTAACAGGAGGCGGAAGAAGCCGATTTATACTGATTGTAGCTGGAGAACTGTGAGTAGTTTACCACAGTTGGTGACACGAGGCAAGGTCTACCACAGTGGGGAGACGAGCCAAGGTCTACCACAGTGGGGAGACGAGCCAAGGTCTACCACAGTGGGGAGACGAGCCAAGGTCTACCACAGTGGGGAGACGAGCCAGGGTCTACCACAGTGGGGAGACGAGCCAAGGTCTACCACAGTGGGGAGACGAGCCAAGGTCTACCACAGTGGGGAGACGAGCCAAGGTCTACCACAGTGGGGAGACGAGCCAAGGTCTACCACAGTGGGGAGACGAGCCAAGGTCTACCACAGTGGGGAGACGAGCAAGGTCTAAGGTCTACCACAGTGGGGAGATGAGCCAAGGTCTACCACAGTGGGGAGACGAGCCAAGGTCTACCACAGTGGGGAGACGAGCCAAGGTCTACCACAGTGGGGAGACGAGCCAGGGTCTACCACAGTGGGGAGACGAGCCAAGGAAGTAGATACTAGCGATGAGCGGCGACAAGAGAGCAACACACGAAAGGGAAGTAATAGGGAACTGGAAGTGGGAACTGTAAGAAGACAGAAAGGCCAAGACCTCTTCACATTCGTTCGCGGTTGCAAGAGTAACGGCTACATAAAAAGTTACACAAAGAAGAGGGAGGGGGCAAAAAAAAATGATAATATGTACAAAAAATACATAATGTAGCGACCAAGTCTGACAAAGAACATTAAACCATTTCACAAACTCCAGATCCTCCCCGAACCAAACTTATGAGCCTCTCAACAACCATCACCAATCAAAACCCGTCCCACCAACCACACACCACTTAAGCTTAGGGCCACGAGACCTAAGCTTGTCACCGCTGGATGTCTGTTTGACAGAACTTTCGTGCAGGTGATGGGGGAGTCTGGTCGCAATATATATATTTCTCCAAGAAGAGAACCACAGACAATCTAAACAGCAAGAACTCGTATAAATATTCTTTAAAGGGGCTGCCAAAAACATCGCAGATTTAGATCACAGCTACTAGTAATGGGAGACTTCAATCATAAACAAATTGGAAGGAAAACAATTGACAAGATAAAAGGGAAGGAAATGTTGAAAAAAAGATGGTAGAAGCTAGTGACAGAAAGAACTCCATTAGCTGGCAAGGTTTAATAATGAATGTAAAAAGAGGAAGCATTTGAAAGATTGAAGAGGTAAAGCTAATGATAAGGGACCTTGAAGACAAAACATCCTCAGCCTATTCATAAAATTTAAATACATGAGATGCCGAGCTTGCTAGAACGCTGAAGCTTCAGCGACTAATCTAAGTATCTGGTGAGCCATTTCTGGTAAGCATTCGGTAAACTCAAAAACTTGATTATCAGAAGGCGAGTGAATTTCTGGAGTGAATGTTACGGTAAAGTGAACTATGATGGAAAGAAAACACAAAACATGCACTACAGGAGTCAACACAAAGGACCTGAATGAAGACTCATTCCGCCTTTAAGAGGCAAAACAGCCAAGGACATTAATCAATGGTTTAACAGGAAGTGCTTTGAGGAAAAAAAGAATCTGGTTGCCAGGTAACCTAATGAAGGTGAGGTCACTGCCCTGGTTCATGCGGAGGTAAGTGGCAGTGGCTGAGTATCATGAGTAGCTACCTTACAGTGCCGGCCTGGCATGAAGTATCCAGGAATGCGAGGTGCTGGAATGCAGACGAGATTCTACTTCAATTCCTTAGTACTAAGCAAGTAAAACTACGGGTAGTTCTTGTGTTCTAGTTTATCTAGATAACGAGGAAAGTTTGGCCACAGGTCTGAAGTACGCAGGGCCACACTCACTACCCCCCAACATAAGGCAGTGTAAGAGAAGACTCAAGATCACCAGGTTATCGAACAGTTAATAATCTGTAAGTCCAGGGACGGAGCAGATGTTACCCTTCTCCTTTATTCAAAGCTTATAGCAGCCCTAAGATACGTGTGAGATCTTGCCATAACATTAAGGAGACTGGAGGGACTGAAGGTCAAAATCCTAGTGTTACCGGCTACAAGCTCCCTACGTTATATCCCAAACCTGTTCTCTCTCATACCTAAGTTCCCCACTCGGGCGAGCGATGGGAGGTAATTAGAGCCCTCAAGCGTTCAAACCAGACCCAAGGTCCTTACCACAGTATTCAGCATGGAACCCTGTCATATTACGATTTAATTTGAAAGAATAAAATGTTAACTTATTGAACGCTAAATCGAAGGACTTGCTACTATCTCCAAAATTGGATGTGAGCAAAAGCTGCTTATCGACCAAAAGGGACAGAACCAGCCAGCAACAGGATGCGGCGACCGTTGAAACTCGCTGGTCATCATGACGACGTCCCCAGAAGCCGGCAGTCATTTGTATCGACGCTGGTCGATCGTGCGAGGCGTTCTCCAGGGGTATATAAGAAGGACCCGGCTGCTTCTCCTGCACACATCCTCTTGCCTTGTCTCGCTCTACGTACAGGTGAGCTCCCTCTTCAGCTACTTCTTACCATTAAGCTCCTGTCTTGGAGAGAGAAAGACTCGCTGCTACAGGTAACGTTTTCAACTGCAACATTGCTTCTGCAGGCGAGTCATGTCATTACCAGTGTGCTGGACCACGCAAGTATTCCTGAGTATTGATAAATATTGAAGCTCTTCGGCTTCATTCACGGAAGAATCAGCGCACTGTGTCCAACCTTTTATATTAAATTCATTCTGCTAATCATACGTGTTGTAATAGTTCCGTGTTTATTATGTTATTTTTCTATGCCACGTTACAACTGAGTTTACATTAAGACACAGTACACATACAGGTTGTTCCATCTGAATACTTAAGTTATCACTGATATTAATAGTCATCAACGCTGACTACTGGTAGTCTTCATGACATGGTGTGGCCGGGCAGACACCAGCGGGTGATGGGAACTGAGCCCAAGACTCCACAGCATAACTGGGGCTCTCCTGGCAGATTGATTGATAAAGACTAAGTCATTCAAAAGGTGGCATGGATAATAGGAGGTTTTTTAGTCATTATCAGTACCTGATACTGGAGATCTGTGGATGGATGGGGTCTTATGGCCCGTATATATAAACAACCTTGGTCGCCAGGTTGCAGTTTAATGTGCAAGGCGATGCTTTATACTTGAACAGTACAACCTCGGTAGTTTGGTACCATCAGGATCGTCGTCCTTTTCGAGGAATGGCATTTGTCCGTCTGGGAATTTGCGGTGGCATTCTGGGTAGCGATATTCTTTCTTCAGAATGGGGAGGTCAGTGTTGGAGTCATGGTGTTGGTGTGGACATACGTGGAGTGCGGGTATTTGTTCCGGCTGATTTTATTGTTACGTGTGGACCAGCTTTCGTCTGGTGTGTGCGTTGCCACTGAACTCGCTGGGCGGAATGAAGAGCACATGGCAAGTATTTTTGTCTTCGCTGTGGAGAGCTTCCTGGTGTCGGTTGTGGGAGTTTTGGGCGGTCCGTCGTCGTCTTCGGTGATATTTTCGTTGGCAGGGGCAGCCAGGGTGGATGGCGTCCCTGTTACCGGACTGGTTGTGGGGCCTGTTGTGGGGTCGAACGCCGGGCCGGCCGCAGCTGGAGGAGCTCGGAGGTCACCGGTTACCGTCACCGTCGGTAGTCCATTTGCGGTGACCAGTCGGTTGATGTTATAGGTTGACGTCGTTGTCCGCCAATTTGTCGGCGAGGTGTAGAAGTACCATCAGGAGGGTGTTGTTGGTGATAACTGCAGACTTGGTTGGGGGTAGTGAGGGTTGCAGAGGCGAGGGGCCAGGCGGTGGTGAGGGAGCAGCAGCTTCCCCAGGTGTTTTCTCTGACAAGGCCGGGGACGTAGGCGGGTTGGCTAAATGGGCTGAGGTGAGGTAGTGTTTGCCGGCATCCTTTTTATTTCCTCCTGCCAGTGGAGACAGTCATGCGTGATTGCAGTGTGTGAGCCATTGTAGAGTAGGCAGCTTCGGTGGGAGGATGAACAGGCTGTGTAGAGGTGCTCCTGGACGCAGACACTGCACTTCCTGGTGTAGTGGAAGTATCTGTAGCACTTGTGGAGCTCCGTGTATCGTTCCTTGGTCACTTGGCCAGGTGGAATGGTGATTCCGGCGCACTCAAGTCCGTGTTCTGTGCAGTGGGTCACTTCGATGACCGTGCTGAAGGTCACTTTCAGTGTTGGTCTGCTGGTGTTGTTGGAGTTGGTGCTGGTCTTGGCCACTACCGCGGTCAGCGTCGGGTTCAGGGCGTTGATGCTGGCGAGAATGTCGTCGTCGCTGAGGGCGGAGACCCATGCGCTGATGTGTCTGGCAAACACAGTCGTGTCCGCCAGGTAGTGTCGTGGAGGAGTGAGGGTGAGGCCGGCGTCTAGTAGGGTGGTCGTGGTGGAGGCGGCGAATAGCTCCTCTAGGTCCAGGTCTCTGGAGAAGAGCAAGTGAACACCTTCTCTGGTCTCCAGGATGTCAGCCGGTGAGACACTTCCGACGATAAAGACCTTTTCAAAGATCTCCGCCGCGGTGAGAACGAGGTCCTCTCGGAGGCGTTGAGAGGTGTAGACACACTGACGTCGGGGCCCCTAAATAAACAACAAGTGAACATTGCTGCACTAACATCAAAACTCATCTGTCTTCCCCCAGCACTTCCATCATGAACCCGATGACATCTGTGATGGTGACGGTGGCTCTGGCCATGCTGGTAGCCGGGACTACAACTGCGGCTAGCACAGGCGGTCCAGGCGGCCCAGGCGGCCCAGGCGGCCCAGGCGGTCCAGGCGGTCCACCCGGGCCAGGCGCCTTCCCCTTGGGAAAATGCTTCACTGCTGCACAAGGGGAAGACTTCAGTAAGTTGACATTACAAAGAGGAAGAACTTAACCAAAGGTTTAGCTGTTTTGCAAGAACGTAAATGTAACACGAACTCTGCTATATGACTCGTTGTTACTTTGTAAATGTTTCCAAATATAAAAAAGTTGTGTAGAAGACTTTTGATAGAGAAGCTGGAGAATGTAGCGGATATAACCTCACTCTCCCTCCCTGTGGTCTACACAGGGGTTGAGGGCCTTCATTCAATCCACTGTTAAAATCAATCACTCCCTCTCCCTACAGAGAAACAGCTGTGCACTGACCTGGGAAAGACCGAGGCCTATTGCAAGGCTAATAAACAACTAATCAAAACTTGCAAGGATGATATCATGACCGGTTCCAACTCCCAGGCCATCATTCAAGCCTCGGCTGACTGCTTGCAATCAGTGACAGGCGTCACCGTGCCTGCATCCAGCATGAGTGAGTATGGTGGCGTCGACTCAGTCCCTGAGGAGTAGATAGAGTAGCTCTAAGGTAGCTAGAGCTGCTCTAGTGCTACTATGTGTATATATATATACATATATATATATATATATATATATATATATATATATATATATATATACATATATATATATATATATATATATATATATATATATATATATATATATATATATATATTTTAACTCACTGTTACAGCAAGAGAATCATAAAGTACCCAATAATTCTCAGCAAAATTAGTAACTAGTTTCTTCTTTTGACAGCTGATGCTAAAACGTACCACAACTATGTGATTGGCCTGTTAGACTCCAACGACACCATCTGCAGTAAGGTCCAGGAAACTATTACTTGCTTCAAAAAGAGCTCTAACATTGTAAGTATAGCATGAGCGCCAGTCTGTATAAACAACATTGTAGGATAAAACACCTTTTTTTTTCTAAATATGTGATCTTGAGTGCCTGAGTCCCGCCTCATAATTTAATCAACCAGTGAGATATTTCCCAACTGTTCACCTATGAGAAGCGCCCAGTATGTAGCGTCTCGCAGCATCTAGCATTGTTATTCAGCCCCTCAAGTCACATGACTGTTTTAGACATCATTTGCACAGTTGACAGTGTTCGTTTGTGTTCAGTGCATTAACATTTATATTGTTCCGCTTACAGAGTCAGCTGATACAGGACTGTCTCACTAAAGCTGGACGTTAAAAACACCACCAGGACATCGAACACCACCAAGGTATCGAACACCACCAAGGCGTCGAACACCACCAAGGTATCGAACACCACCAAGGCGTCGAACACCACCAAGACGTCAAATAACCATCAGAACTCATTACAGAACCACTGAGGCGAAATCTTAGAAAAACACCCTAGCAACTATTTCAGATTTCGTATCTTTAATTGGAAAGGAAAAATTAATCGAGTTTCAAATACTTGATACATTTTTGGTTATAACATCCTTTGCAATGTTTACATCTACATCCCTTCAGTAAAAACAATGAAAACAAAGAACAGTGAAAATAGTTCCTTTAGAAGCAACAGTCTAAGGAACAGCAACTTCAACAACGGCAAAAGGAAGACCTTCACAAGCTGCTCCCAGCTGGGCTAGAGGTTGTGTCTCAGAAGGAACACAAGATCACTGTCTTTAACTTTAACAAAATCTAAAGTTGGTAACTTATGTAACACAATCACTTTTGTTTTCTTTAGTAGTAAATCAATTGGCAACTTTGTGTCTTTATTTCCCGCATTCATTTCTGCATAACAACTCTCCATACATTATGGATAACATATCAAGGATTGTGAAAATACAGTAAATTAAACGATGACAGCTGTTACAAATATATATCTCTCCGAGAGCAAATGTATTGGTCTATGGAACAACTGGCCTGTACAGCTGAACTGTGACTGCTTAGTCTATGCAAAATTATTGATCTTGTCACTGTAGGAAAAATGTTAATTAGCAAAATTTTTGCACAGCACCAATGTAGTTAATAAGTACTGCTACAAAAATACAAATTATGAACAAATTCACAAGGGCCGTGACAAGGATTCGAACCTACGTCCAAGAGCATCCCAGACGCTGCCTTGATCGACTGAGCTACGACATGGTATAAGAATTGCAACCAGAAATTCTACTGAATTTACCAATAAGCAGACCAATATTCGTACCCTAGGGATGCGCCTGCGGACATTCAATCTTTAGTCTGTCATCTTTGATTCTACGTCCGGGTGTACTATGCCCGGCAACCGAGAACATGTTTTCGGTGTGGCCTGTTGGGGCATCAGGCTGCCGGCTGCTCTGAGGCTGCGGTCGCTCCAGCAAACCTGTTCTGGGAAGAGGATTTCCCGCCGCTCCCTGAGACACGAAGGAACTAACACACAACAGTAGGAAGAATAAGATAAAAGTAGGGAGAAAGCACGAAAATACTTAAGAGATGACTGCAGGGGAAAGAGGAAACAAGTGAAAAATGACAAACTCGGAGCCGGATAGGAATTCTTGGAAGAAAACGTATCTGGCAAGACTGAAACAGGAGACGGAAGAAGCCGATTTATACTGATTGTAGCTGGAGAACTGTGAGCAGTTTACCACAGTGTTGAGACGAGCCAAGGTCTACCACAGTGTTGAGACGAGCCAAGGTCTACCACAGTGGGGAGACGAGCCAAGGTCTACCACAGTGGGGAGACGAGCCAAGGTCTACAGTGTTGAGACGAGCCAAGGTACCACAGTGGGGAGACGAGCCAAGGTCTACCACAGTGGGAAGACGAGCCAAGGTCTACCACAGGTCTACCACAGTGGGGAGACGAGCCAAGGTCTACCACAGTGGGGAGACGAGCCAAGGTCTACCACAGAGGGGAGACCAGGGTCTACCACAGTGTTGAGACGAGCCAAGGTCTACCACAGTGGGGAGACGAGCCAAGATCTACCACAGTGGGGAGACGAGCCAAGGTCTACCACAGTGGGGAGACGAGCCAAGGTCTACCACAGTGGGGAGACGAGCCAAGGTCTACCACAGTGGGAAGACGAGCCAAGGTCTACCACAGTGGGGAGACGAGCCAAGGTCTACCACAGTGGGGAGACGAGCCAAGGTCTACCACAGTGTTGAGACGAGCCAAGGTCTACCACAGTGGGGAGACGAGCCAAGGTCTACCACAGTGGGGAGACGAGCCAAGGTCTACCACAGTGTTGAGACGAGCCAAGGTCTACCACAGTGGGGAGACGAGCCAAGGTCTACCACAGTGGGAAGACGAGCCAAGGTCTACCACAGTGGGGAGACGAGCCAAGGTCTACCACAGTGGGGAGACGAGTCTACCACAGTGTTGAGACAAGGTCTACCACAGTGGGGAGACGAGCCAAGGTCTACCACAGTGGGGAGACGAGCCAAGGTCTACCACAGTGGGGAGACGAGCCAAGGTCTACCACAGTGGGGAGACGAGCCAAGGTCTACCACAGTGGGGAGACGAGCCAAGGTCTACCACAGTGGGGAGACGAGCCAAGGTCTACCACAGTGGGGAGACGAGCCAAGGAAGTAGATACTAGCGATGAGCGGCGACAAGAGAGCAACACACGAAAGGGAAGTAATAGGGAACTGGAAGTGGGAACTGTAAGAAGACAGAAAGGCCAAGACCTCTACACATTCGTTCGCGGTTGCAAGAGTAACGGCTACATAAAAAGTTACACAAAGAAGAGGGAGGGGGCCAAACAAATGATAATGTGTACAAAAAATACATAATGTAGAGAGCCACAATCAGCGACCAAGTCTGACAAAGAACATTAAACCATTTCACAAACTCCAGATCCTCCCCGAACCAAACTTATGAGCCTCTCAACAACCATCACCAATCAAAACCCGTCCCACCAACTATAAAACATTTAAGCTTAGGGCCACGAGACCTAAGCTTGTCACCGCTGGATGTCTGTTTGACAGAACTTTCGTGCAGGTGATGGGGGAGTCTGGTCGCAATATATATATATTTCTCCAAGAAGAGAACCACAGACAATCTAAACAGCAAGAACTCATATAAATATTCTTTAAAGGGGCTGCCAAAAACATCGCAGATTTAGATCACAACTACTAGTAATGGGAGACTTCAATTATATCCAAATTGGAAGGAAAACAATTGACAAGATAAAAGGGAAGGAAACGTTGAAAAACAAAGATGGTAGAAGCTAGTGACCGAAAAGAACTCCATTAGCTGGCAAGGTTTAATAATGAATGTAAAAAGAAGAAGCATTTGAAAGATTGAAGAGGTAAAGCTAATGATAAGGGACCTTGAGGACAAAACATCCTCAGCCTATTCATAAAATTTAAATACATGAGATGCCGAGCTTGCTAGAACGCTGAAGCTTCGGCGACTAATCTAAGTATCTGGTGAGCCATTTCTGGTAAGCATTCGGTAAACTCAAAAAGCTTGATTATCAGAAGGCGAGTGAATTTCTGGAGTGAATGTTACGGTAAAGTGAACTATGATGGAAAGAAAACACAAAACATGCACTACATGAGTCAACACAAAGGACCTGAATGAAGACTCATTCCTCCTTTAAGAGGCAAAACAGCCAAGGACATTAATCAATGGTTTAACAGGAAGTGCTTTGAGGAAAAAAAGAATCTGGTTGCCAGGTAACCTAATGAAGGTGAGGTCACTGCCCTGGTTCATGCGGAGGTAAGTAGCAGTGGCTGAGTATCATGAGTAGCTGCCTTACAGTGCCGGCCTGGCATGAAGTATCCAGGAATGGGAGGTGCTGGAATGCAGTCTTCAACTTAGAACCCGTAGTTTTAAGCAAGTAAAATTATGGGTAGTTCTTGTGTTCTAGATTCTCTAAAAAGGAGGAAAGTTTGGCCACAGGTCTGAAGTACGCAGGGCCACACTCACCCCCCCCCCAACATCAGGCAGTGCAAGAGAAGACTCAAGATCACCAGGTTATCGTACAGATGATGAGAGATTAAGTCCAGGGACAGACCTGATGTTACCCTTCTCCTTTCTTCAAAGCTTATAGCAGCCCTAAGAGATGTGTGAGATGTTGCCATAACATTAAGGAGACTGGAGGGAATGAAGGTCATATCCTCGTGTTACCGGCTACAAGCTCCCTACGTTATATCCCAAACCTGTTCTCTCTCATACCTAAGTTCCCCATTCGGGCGAGTGATGGGAGGTAATTAGAGCCTACAAGCGTTCAAACCAGACCTAAGTCCTTACCACAGTCTTCAGCATGGAACCCTGTCATAATATCATTTAATTTCAAACAATAAAATGTTAACTTAATAAAGGCTAAATCGAAGGACTTGCTACTAACTCCGAAATTGGATGTGAGCAAAAGCAGCTTATCGACCAAAAAGGAACAGAACCAGCCAATAACAGGATTCGGTGACCACTGAAACTCGCTTTTGATCATGACGACGTCCCCAGAAGCCGGCAGTCATTTGCATTGACGTTGATCGATCGTGCTAGACTTTCTCCAGGGGTATATAAGAAAGACCCGACCGGTCCTTCTGCACACATCCTCTTGCCTTGTCTCGCTCTACGTACAGGTGAGCTCCCTCTTCAGCTGCTTCTTACCATTAAGCTCCTGTCTTGGAGAGAAAAAAGACTCGCTGCTACAGGTAACGTTTTCAACTGCAACATTGCTTCTGCAGGCGAGTCATGTCATTACCAGTGTGCTGGACCACGCAAGTATTCCTGAGTATTGATAAATATTGAAGCTCTTCGGCTTCATTCACGGAAGAATCAGCGCACTGTGTCCAACCTTTTATATTAAATTCATTCTGCTTATCATACGTGTTGTAATAGTTCCGTGTTTATTATGTTATTTTTCTATGCCACGTTACAACTGAGTTTACATTAAGACACAGTACACATACAGGTTGTTCCATCTGAATACTTAAGTTATCACTGATGTTAATAGTCATCAACGCTGACCACTGGTAGTCTTCATGACATGTTGCGGTGTGGCCGGGCAGACACCAGCGGGTGATGGGAACTGAGCCCAAGACTCCACAGCATAACTGGGGCTCTCCTGGCAGATTGATTGATAAAGATTAAGTCACCCAAAAAGTGGCATGGGTAAGTGGAGGTTCTTTGGAGTCATTATCAGTACCTGATACTGGAGATCTGTGGATGGATGGGGTCTTATGGCCCGTATATATGAACAACCTTGGTCACCAGGTTGCAGTTTAATGTGCAAGGCGATGCTTTATACTTGAACAGTACAACCTCGGTAGTTTGGTACCATCAGGATCGTCGTCCTTTTCGAGGAATGGCATTTGTCCGTCTGGGAATTTGCGGTGGCATTCTGGGTAGCGATATTCTTTCTTCAGAATGGGGAGGTCAATGTTGGAGTCATGGTGTTGGTGTGGACATACGTGGAGTGCGGGTATTTGTTCTGGCTGATTTTATTGTTATGTGTGGACCAGTTTTCGTCTGGTGTGTGCGTTGCCATTGAACTCGCTGGGCGGAATGAAGAGCACATGGCAAGTACTTTTGTCTTCGCTGTGGAGAGCTTCCTGGTGTCGGTTGTGGGAGTTTTGGGCGGTCCGTCGTCGTCTTCAGTGATATTTTCGTTGTCAAGGGTAGCCAGGGTTCAGGCGAGACTGCAGTGTGCGGGCCATTGTAGAGTAGGCAGCGTCGGTGGGAGGATGTGCAGGCTGTGTAGTGGTGCTCCTGGGCACAGATACTACATTTCTGCACCGGTAGTACTTGAAGCTCTTGCGGAGCTCTGTGTATCGTTCCTTGGTCACTTGGGCAGGTGGAATGGTGATTCCGGCGCATTTAAGTCCGTGTTCCGTGGTGTGGGTCGCTGCAATGTCCGTGCTGAAGGTCACCTTCAGTATTCACCTAGTTGTGCTTGCGGGGGTTGAGCTCTGCTCTTTCGGCCCGCCTCTCAACTGTCAATCAACTGTTACTAACTTATTCAGTGTTGGCCTGCTGGTGTTGTTGGAGTTGGTGCTGGTCTTGGCCACTACCAGGGTCAGCGTCGGGTTCAGGGCGTTGATGCTGGCGAGAATGTCGTCGTCGCTGAGGGCGGAGACCCATGCGCTGATGTGTCTGGCAAACACAGTCGTGTCCGCCAGGTAGCGTCGTGGAGGAGTGGGGGTGAGGCCGGCGTCTAGTAGGGTGGTCGTGGTGGAGGCGGCGAATAGCTCCTCTAGGTCCAGGTCTCTGGAGAAGAGCAAGTGAACACCTTCTCTGGTCTCCAGGATGTCAGCCGGTGAGACACTTCCGACGGTAGGGGCCATTTTCAAAGATCTCCGCCGCGGTGAGAACGAGGTCCTCTCGGAGGCGTTGAGAGGTGTAGACACACTGACGTCGGGGCCCCTAAATAAACAACAAGTGAACATTGCTGCACTAACATCAAAACCCATCTGTCTTCCCCCAGCACTTCCATCATGAACCCGATGACATCTGTGATGGTGACGGTGGCTCTGGCCATGCTGGTAGCCGGGACTACAACTGCGGCTAGCACAGGCGGTCCAGGCGGTCGATCCGCCTTCCCCTTGGGTAAATGCTTCACTGCTGCACAAGGGGATAACTTCAGTAAGTTGACATTACAAAGAGGAAGAACTTAACCAAAGGTTTAGCTGTTTTGCAAGAACGTAAATATAACACGAACTCTGCTATATGACTCACTGTTACTCTGTAAATGTTTCCAAATAAAAATAAGTTGTGTAGAAGACTTTTGATAGAGAAGCTGGAAAATGTAGCGGATATAACCTCACTCTCCCTCCCTGTGGTCTACACAGGGGTTGAGGGCCTTCATTCAATCCACTGTTAAAATCAATCACTCCCTCTCCCTACAGAGAAACAGCTGTGCACTGACATGGGAAAGACCGAGGCCTATTGCAAGGATAATGAACAACAAATCACAACTTGCAGGAAAAATATCATAACCGTTTCCAACTCCCAGGCCCTCATTCAAGCCTCGGCTGGCTGCTTGCAAACAGTAGTAGGCGTCACCGTTCCTGCATCCAGCATGAGTGAGTATGGTGGCGTCGACTCGGTCCCTGGTAAGCCTCTAGAGTAGCTCTAGGGTAGCCAGAGCTGCTCTAGTGCAGCTCGATAACGTTGTGCCAATACTTCACTAAGGGTGCCCCATAACCAAAGGTCCCTGGTTACGGAGTTTGGGATGTATTCCATTGTATAGAATGTATTACATTGTATTCCTTGTGCCATGGATCAGCCTACAAGACCATTAGTAAAGATTGTGTATACAAGCTTTAACCCTTTATTAGGATCGTTATGTACCCAGCCTGATCACATTTCCATAATTAAATGACAAATAATAACATATTTTTTAGGTGACCGGACGTCATCTTATGATATATAAAACCTTATACTTGAAACAGTGAGCTCACTTCTATTACGCTACCTGCTTATTTGTTCAATAACTGAACAGCCCTTTTTTCCACATTAATATTGACCCAGATCTTCCCTGAAACTAAAATTATCGAGCTAATATCCATTGTATAGTGTTCTGTTGTAATAACGTAATTAATGAAACTACGAAATGCCTATTGGCTCATATGAAGCAGTTTCTATTATATATATATATATATATATATATATATATATATATATATATATATATATATATATTAGTATATTTTGGTAGCAGTCTTTCCTGTAGACATATATATATATATATATATATATATATATATATATATATATATATATATATATATATAACACTGTTTTAGTATTAAGAGAATCATAAAGTACCCAATAATTCACAGCAAAACTAGTAACCAGCTTTTCCTTTTGACAGCTGATGCTAAAACGTTCTATCCATATGTGAGTCAGCTGTTGGACTCCAACGACACCATCTGCAGTCAGATTCAAGAAATTCTTACCTGCTTCAAACTGAGTTCTAACTTAGTAAGTATAGCATGAGCGCCAGTCTGTATAAACAACAGTGTGAAGGCCAAAACACTTTCTAAATATGTGATCTTGAGTGCCTGAGTCCCGCCTCATAATTTAATCAACCAGTGAGATATTTCCCAACTGTTCACCTATGACAAGCGCCCAGTATGTAGCGTCTCGCAGCATCTAGCATTGTTATACAGCCCCTCAAGTCACATGACTGTTTTAGACATCATTTGCACTGTTGACAGTGTTCATTTGTGTTCAGTGTATTAACATTTATATTGTTCCGCTTACAGAGTCAGCTGATACAGGACTGTCTCACTAAAGCTGGTCTTTGAAAACACCCCCAAGACGTCGAACACCATCGAGGCGTCGAACACCCCCTAAGGCGTCGAACACCCCCTAAGGCGTCGAACACCACCAAGGCGTCGAACACCACCGAGGCGTCGAACACCACCGAGGCGTCAAATAGCCATCACAACTCATTACAGAACCACTGAGGCGAAATCTTGAAAAACTCCCTAACAACTATTTTAGATTTCGTATCTTATATTGGAAAGGAAAAATGAATCGAGTTTCAGATACTTAATAAATATTTGGTTATAACATCCTTTGCAATGTTTTCATTAATATCCCTTCAGTAAGAACAATGAGAACAAAGAACAAAACAGTGAAAATAGTTCCTTTAGAAGCAACAGTCCAAGGAACAGCAACTTTAACAACGGCAAAAGAAAGACCTTCACAAGCTGCTCCCAGCTGGGCTAGAGGTTGTGTCCCAGAAAGAACACGAGATCACTGTCTTTAACTTAAACCCAGGGAAGTCAGGTCTAGTTCTCGTGGCCTTGCCTCGTAACTCATACCTCTCAGTTCTGGGACTAGTCTGGTGGCATACCTCTGAATCTTCTCCAACTCTGGCTTGTGTTAAACTAAGTATGGACACCAGGCTGGAGCTGCATACTCCAGGACTGGTCTGACGTTAGTGGTACACAAGGTCCTAAAAAATTCCTTACACAGGTTTCTAAAGGGAGTACTTATGTTGGCCATTCTAGCAAAGGCCACTGATGATGTCTTTTGATGTGGGCCTCTGGGGACAAGTTCTGCCACTCCACACACTTGCCACAAGTGTGTCCACACACTTGCCACAAGTGTGTCCACACACTTGCTACAAGTGTTCATGATATCTCCCATAGTGCTGGTGTCTGAGATTTATCGACAGTATTAACGCTGACGTCGCGATTTAATATCATTCCGTTGTCGGTACCAGGAACCCCAGCCCGTCCCTTCCCTGGGACAGGGAGCTGACCCTCCCCAAGATGCTACCCCACAACAGTTGCCTAGTTCCTGGTACCTATTTACTGCTAGATGAACAGAAGCATCAGGTGGAAAGAAAGGTGCCCAACAATTACGGTCCCGCTCGGGGATCGAACACGAAATCTCCGATTGCGAGTGAGGAACGCAGACCAATGTACTACAGGAGACCCTTATAAGACACCACGGGCGCCGCGGGATCGAGCTCGGGACTATTTATGTACTTTTATTGATTTAGGCGACCAATTAGGACGTCTATGTGTAACAAGTCTTGTCTCAAGCTATCATACAGGCGTAACAACCCGTCCTGTCAACTAACGCGACGTTATGGTAACCAACGTCAAAAATGCGATGTGCTAGGGCAAAATAGCGGTTCACAAAATCCTCGTTTTCTATGCATCAGTCACTTGGGTTAGGTAGGTGGCTAGGGTGTATACGGTTGTGCTTGGGTTAGAACGGAAGCTGTTGTACGTCGAGAGACCATCAGGCTGATACTGAAGAGCTTCGTCCTGTAGCTTTGTAACCGACGCATGCAATAAGTTACTGTGGGAAGGCGGGACCCAAGAGCCGAAGTTCAACCCCCGTAAACACAACTAGGTGAGTACACACTGGCAAGAAACTCTCAACAAAGCATTATAATCTTCTACACGGTAGTTCAGAATTATTATCCTTAAATTATTGTAGTATTTAGTAGTCTATAAATAAAAAGAGGAACCATGGTGACCAAGATATGCCATATTCTGACATATTCTATGATATACTACGCGAGGTCGTCCCTATGTGTTGAATTACACTCACCTTCCTCAGGAAGTAACCTCACAACGGCTGTTGAACTGCTGGGTACCTATTTACTGCTAGGCGAACAGAGGCATTAAGTGCAGGGAAACGCGCCAAAGTATTTTAGTCCCGGTCGGGGATCGAACCCCCGGATCCTCAATTGAGAGAGTGGACTATGTAAATCTCCCTCCGCACTCGACACAATTCAGGAATCTACTGTGTTTGTCAGGCGCGAGCCTCGCCTCACGTCGCCCATGTCGTGAAACATAGAAATAATGTCAACTAAGCATAACGTATATATATATCTACTAATAATCCAATTATCTAAAACAAAGAATAGTACTGCAGTCAGAGCCTAGATGGCGTTAGAACACGGGGACATCTATTATACGAGTTAGCAATAAACTCGTATAAAAATACGTGTTAAGAGGAAGAATGAAACGGGTGGGACCAGATAGATGATAAAGTTAGTGTAAAAAAAATAGTTTACTATTAATTTCAGTCTATGAAAGAAGCAAGATTCTATCCAGACTGATGGAATGTGTGCTACCAGTGACATAACTCTGGCCAGCTGTTCATGTTCCTTCAAATGACAACACGTAGTACATGAACTAATCGTGGTATATTAATATACACTACATTAATTCCGGTATTATTAGTAATTTTTCCACTAGATCAATATAGCTTCGGACTTTGTCCAGCTCCGAGGCTGACAGAACAAGTTTAGAAGAGAAACCCCTGCAAAAAACTGGAGCTGAGAAAACTCCGTCAAAGAAAACTGTAAAATATGGTAGACTTAAGCAGGCCGCGAGACGAAGGGTTGGACAAAGTCAGTACGGAGGCTGGTAGTGGGGGAACAAACCACCCATGGCGGGTCATAGATAAAACCACTGCAACACAACCAAAGGATGAGCTGTGAACAACTGGCCCAAGAATGTTACATAAAAGACAAGAGAGATCGGGTAATCAAACACGGATGACGGGATCGAGGTTCCCGCAAGCTGTAACTCACGACCCTCTCCAGCATCCAACTCCACAACAAGCTAACTCCTGGGCACGTACTTACTTCTAAGTGAACAGGTACATTAGATGAAAGGAAACGTATCCAACCATTTTTGTACCGGCCGGGAATCGAACTGGGGGATCCCCGACTGTGGTTCGAGAACGAATCCAAACCAACTTCAAGGAAGCTACAAGAAATACAGCCAAAAAAGGAAGAGGAAATAAGGAGGAACCTTATCCTCCCCCCTCCCGCCAACACAACAAATAACCATGCACAAAGATGGCCAAAATACTCAAGATAAGAGGACAGCTCCGTTACGAAATGAAGGAAAGAAGGAAACGTGGCAAAGAACTAAGAAATATGATGAATGAAGATGCGACAAATGCAACAGGTCTCCTATCACCGTGGCGGCTGCTGAAGGATGCTTCAAGGAAATCCTGTCATCCCCCTTACTACAATTTTCATTAAAACACTCAAGACAGGAGATCTCCCAGATATCTAGAGAAAGGATCAATGTACTCTCACTACTAAAAAAAAATGGAACTGTCAGCGGGCAATAACTATAAACTAGAATCACTAACAAGTGTTCCTTTGTCGCTCCTCCTCTCTGGCGCCGTCATTCTGGCTCCTCTATGCAAACATAAGAATGAAGCAAACTGCAAACTGCCTCTTGACCCATTTATACCCAGCGAGTCCCAAGCCAAGTATGTAATTCCCTTGATATTTACCCCCAGGTCTGTCCTAAATGTAAACAATCTCCAATTTATATCCCCCTTTGTTATTCCTTTACTGTTCTTCTCTCTAGGGAACGTGTTGGGTTCGTACGGGTCTGGTTGGGTTAGAATGGTAGCGATAAATTAGCGTTAGAACGGTAAATTTAGCTTTTTAAATCTCTCTCTTCGTTGGAAAGGTCTCTAATTCCTATGATTAACCTTGTCAGCGTTCTCTGTTCGCGGTCCGGTGAATTTATCCGGGGAAAGACAAAGACCATTTTAATTGGGGGAGATTTGATAGAGTTGGAGCTCCATAACACTTTTGTGCAGTGAAAGCTTCTAACATCGGAGAAGTTTAATATCAAATGAACGAGATGTGTTACGTTCTGTGTGGTTATAACCCTGAGAGCTAAATTTGCTTTATATCTCATATATTTAAAACATTTGTTTTATTAACATTAATATATAAGATTCCCTGTGTGGTAGCCAGCTGGGAAGACCCCCTGTGTGGTAGCCAGCTGGGAAGACCCCCTGTGTGGTAGCCAGCTGGGAAGACCCCTTGTGTGGTAGCCAGCTGGGAAGACCCCCTGTGTGGTAGCCAGCTGGGAAGACCCCCTGTGTGGTAGCCAGCTGGGAAGACCCCCTGTGTGGTAGCCAGCTGGGAAGACCCCCTGTGTGGTAGCCAGCTGGGAAGACCCCCTGTGTGGTAGCCAGCTGGGAAGACCCCCTGTGTGGTAGCCAGCTGGGAACCCCCTGTGTGGTAGCCAGCTGGGAAGACCCCCCCTGTGTGGTAGCCAGCTGGGAAGACCCCCTGTGTGGTAGCCAGCTGGGAAGACCCCCTGTGTGGTAGCCAGCTGGGAAGACCCCCTGTGTGGTAGCCAGCTGGGAAGACCCCCTGTGTGGTAGCCAGCAGGAAGACCCCCCCTGTGTGAGCCAGCTGGGAAGACCCCCCCTGTGTGGTAGCCAGCTGGGAAGACCCCCTGTGTGGTAGCCAGCTGGGAAGACCCCTTGTGTGGTAGCCAGCTGGGAAGACCCCCTGTGTGGTAGCCAGCTGGGAAGACCCCCCCTGTGTGGTAGCCAGCTGGGAAGACCCCCCCTGTGTGGTAGCCAGCTGGGAAGACCCCCCCTGTGTGGTAGCCAGCTGGGAAGACCCCCTTGTGTGGTAGCCAGCTGGGAAGACCCCCTGTGTGGTAGCCAGCTGGGACCCTCCGGGGGGGTGTTGAGGCAAGGGGAGGTCCCAGGTGCAAGAAGCAGAGATGGCTGTAATGTGTGTGTCACAGAGGGTCCCTGGCAGCCTCCGTCAGTAGCCTCCCTGAGGTCTTCGTCCTTCGCTTCACAGCTGTTTGGTGCTGTTCCCCTCAGCCAATGCATTATATCCTACTTCCCTTTTCAAGTTACGTGTTATTAAATGAAGTTTTCTCTATCTCTTGAATTCCTTTCAACTATATCCACGTTACGTACGAGCGTAACCAGATTTTACCCTGCCAGAGTTTCAGGTGTGAGAATAGAGAATGGAATATTGGATAGGAGAAGCCACAGCTGCTCCTCAGGCCTCTGGGCTAGATCATTAATCTGCCAACTGGGATTTAGGAGGCAAGATGAATGGCCTCGCACAGCTACGAGAGTGATACAGTTTTCCACTTGAATTCTTATTATATTTCTAGTTTACGGGACAAGTAGTGTTGATATTGTAGTCTCGCGTACGACAAATACTTAATACGATTTATGTATGCATTCGAAACCCTTCTTTTCAGCGTAAAATAACGCACTCATATGATATAAAAATGGATTTGTAGCTATAGAAACAATTTTTCATTGTATTTGTACCTTTCACATGGACTATTTGGCATATTGTGGCCTGTGTCCTGGGCCCTTAAGGTGTTATTTCTGTGTCCAAATTTGGAACCAGTCCTTTTATTATTTTCCAAGGGTAAATTAGTATGTATTAGATTCGTTTTTTTGTTAGCATATTTTCTGGGTCAGCCATCTCTCCAGCTTCATATGTGGCTGTTAGTGTGCAACAGTATTGCCCCCAAGATAAAGGAACGGAAGATATTTATGAGGAGAAAGTGTGAAGCCAGTTTTCCTTTATAGAACTTGGAAGAGATATCAGGATGGAGTGAAGGAACGCTGTTCAACCGTTTGAATCATCGGGAATCGAACGGCGACCGTGCTCGAAGCGAGGCCTTCGCACCCATAACAGGCAAAGACAGGAGTAATGAAACCTGTATTTACGTCAAAATGCATTTACTAAGTCTAGCTAAGAACTTCAAAACAAATACTAAAATAACAATAGTCTATAATGTAATGAATAACAAGAACTTCAAAGTGTTGCTCAACCAAGTGTTGCTTCACTTCATTGAGTCTGTTACTTAAGTTACGTTACTTTAGGCAGACGAGGAGTCACAATAACGTGGCTGAAAAATGTTGACCAGACCACACACACTAGAAGTTGAAGAGACGACGACGTTTCGGTCCGTCGTGGACCATTCTCAACAATCGACCTCATAATGGTCCAGGACGGACCATAAGTCTTTGTTTCTTACCAATATGAGACAAAAAAACTTATTCAGTTTGAATAAGTTCCTTTAAAACTGAGCTTCTCTGGTTGAATGATCCAGATCTTATTACACTGACTATTTATTGCTCTTTGGATTCTATTCGTTAGGAAATTAATGACCCATCTTCCTAGTTGGCCAGTTATTCCTTTCGTACACAGTTTCTGTGCCATTGCACCATGAGCACCTTTGTTAAACGCTTTCGTGGTCTTCCGTAGCACCCAAGGCCATGGCACCAAAGGCCATGTCAGAGAGCCACAAGGTGTAGGAGAGTAGGGGACCCACGACCTTACCAACAGCTCACTGGGGCCCCCAGAGAGCCACTAGGCCTTGGACAACAGGGACCCCAACGGCCATACCAACAGCTCACTGGGGTCCCCAGAGAGCCACTAGGGCAGAGGAGAGCAGGGACCCCACCAACAGCTCACTGGGGTTCCCAGAGAGCCACAAGGTCTGGGAAAACAGGGACCCCCACGGCCATACCAGCAGCTCACTGGGGCCCCCAGAGAGCCACCAGGGCTGGGGAGAGCAGGGACCCCACGACCATACCCACACCCAGCATGGCGGCCATTATAGCTCCGCCCACTTCCAGCTCGTCAGCGTCCACCAGTCTGTGAGCAAAACAAAACAATAACAATTTGGCGCTGAGAGCACAGGAGATATTAATGTGGCGTAAACTTTAAGGAGGTTTTAGAGTATGAGAGAGTAACTGTTTGGAGACTCTGCAAGCTCCAGAGCTTGCAGAGTCAGTATATATTGTCAGTATATTGGTCAGTATAATGTGTATGTGTAAACATTACGGGGGAAGCATGTCTGGATTTGTAAACAGTGTAACAAAAATGATGAGTGGAGAATTTGGCAAGTGACTCGGGATATGTGTGTTTTGTTTGCATGATAATAAACAAAACAGGAAACAAAAACCGGTTCCAGAGCTTGGTTGCAGGTCGAACCTTAATCATCGCACCACAGCCCAGATGCATCTCTAAGATACACTCATTTACCCAAATGATAATACACTCAAGGGCACATATACCTTCCAAAGCCAGGACAGCGCCAGACATCATAAGACATGTGGATAACCTCATCATGATGAATAGGAAGGGTTTGAGAGGGGTTCCTGAAGCCATTATATAGCCAATAATTTAGTCAAGTATCTAAAATTTGCTGCCTATAGCCAGTACATGCATTTAACAGCATCCTTTGTACCGCTGCTCACTGGAAGACTGTGGGAGGCAGTCATATGCAAATTAACTGACTCAACTATAACAAACTTTCTCTTCCTTGCATCAGGGCTTCTGAGGTGAGGTTGATGTTAATTTGATAAACTATAAAGATGCCTTTTAATTTATGGATCACAACTAGTTATGGAACTAGTTCGTCAGTGCTGTATCTTGCTTAGGTAAACAAATTTTGTGGATGAGCTCCTGAACCCATTATGGGCTTCTGTCGTCATTCCACTAACACTCACAGGATGGGTATGAGGGTCCACTACCACTCATAGGATGGGGTATGAGGGTCCACTACCACTCATAGGATGGGTAGGGAGTCCACTACCACTCATAGGATGGGGTATGAGGGTCCACTACCACTCATAGGATGGGTAGGGAGTCCACTACCACTCACAGGATAGGTATGAGGGTCCACTACCACTCACAGGATGGGTATGGGGTCCACTACCACTCACAGGATAGGTATGGGGGTCCACTACCACTCACAGGATGGGTATGAGGGTCCACTACCACTCATAGGATGGGTAGGGAGTCCACTACCACTCACAGGATAGGTATGAGGGTCCACTACCACTCACAGGATGGGTATGGGGTCCACTACCACTCACAGGATAGGTATGGGGGTCCACTACCACTCACAGGATGGGTATGGGGTCCACTACCACTCACAGGATAAGTATGGGGGTCCACTACCACTCACAGGATGGGTATGTGGTCCACTACCACTCACAGGATGGGGTATGAGGGTCCACTACCACTCACAGGATGGGTATGGGGTCCACTACCACTCACAGGATAGGTATGGGGGTCCACTACCACTCACAGGATGGGTATGGGGTCCACTACCACTCACAGGATAAGTATGGGGGTCCACTACCACTCACAGGTTAAGTATGGGGTTCACTACCACTCACAGGATAAGTATGGGGGTCCACTACCACTCACAGGTTAAGTATGGGGCTCACTACCACTCACAGGATTAGTATGGGGGTCCACTACCACTCACAAGACGGGCATGAGGGTCCACCACCACTCACAGGATGGGTATGGGGTGCATAACACATAAACTAAACTAAACTCTACTGGCCTTAGTCGAATCTTGAATTGGTCAACTACAATAATTTTGGCTAAGTATTAGTGCTGGCTATCATAAAAGTACATATTTATGTATAAAACTTACAGTATCTATAAGTCTACTTACGAAGGGTAGTAGATGAGCGCCAAGGTGCTGATGTGGCCGTTGGTGAAGGCGAGGAGGAAGAGGAAGACGATGTAGTAAGCGTCGTTGTTGAACACCGTCGGGAAGGTCTTGTTGGTGCCGTGACACAGCATCAGCAGCGGCAGGAGCACCAGGCGACACGCACCAAACACGTGCAGCGTCCACCCGCGCGGACCTGGCTGTCACGGCCCACACACACACTGCGTCAATCAAGTGGCAGTCGAGCAAGGAATTCCTAGCCCCTTGTATTGGACCCCCAATGGGAATGGTGGACACTTAACTCACACACACACACTGGAGATTCTCTCATATTGATTTGTAACTGCGAAAACTATACTCATCTAATTGTGCTTGCGGGGGTTGAGCTTTGGCTCTTTGGTCCCGCCTCTCAACTGGTGTACAGATTCCTGAACCTATTGGGCTCTATCATATCTACTGTATGTAAGGTTCGTTTAGATTAGATTAGTCTATGCTTGGTTAGGTCAGCTTAGGCTGGAGTAGGATGTTTAAAATTGCCTTTAGATACTAAAACATTTATTGTCGAACTATCTCTTGTAGGAAATGACCTATGTAGAAGGGAACACCGTATAGCTCTTCCGATAATTAGAACTTTGGTGATGAAATGCTCTGCGTATTAGTGGTTTCATGAAATATGTATTTCTTACCTTAGAATTTTCCCCCGTATTACGTATCTGATGCATGTCCGAATAATAATAATAATAATAATGTATTATTATTTATTATAATATTATTATTATTATTATTAATATAACTTACAGTTATGACTACCAATACAGTGAAATTAAATATTCTCGCTATTTGTTTCTCTTAAATCGGTTGTCTTCATGATATGATGAGAAAACTCACTTTATTATGCTATTAAACCAATTAGGGAAGTACTAAACTTGTGCCTTGGTAACTATGATAATGAGAACATTTGAGGCCGTTTGATGGGATCAAACCTTCGTCCCTAGACTCCCATAGTTCAGTCGGTAGCGTGTGTATTTAGGGCCCCATTCCTTCCCTTCCTTCCCATCCCAAATCCTTATCGTGATCCCATCCCAGTGCTATATAGTCGTGATGGCTTGGCGCTTTCCCCTTGATAGTTCCCTTCCCTTCCCAGAGATTCAAGCTCAATGCAATCATTTGGCCTCAAATATTCTTCTAGATACCTCACACTGTTGTGCGTGGCAGAGAATCATGCTCTAGCAGTAAGAATAGTAATTTAGTGACTGTTGAAACCAAGTCAACATTTTACGTGCATAGCAGCGTAAGGGTTTACCATGGCCCAGAATGGCAAAATTAGTGGTGGGTATTACACGTTAGTTTTTCTACTAGAAACATAGGTTCATTATCAGTTATGGTGATCTGTAATAGCACCCAGTGACCCCTGGAGGGTATCTGGTGAGTCGTGTAGCACCTAGTGATCCACAGTAGCACCAAGTCACCCACTTGGTGGTATTGTTAGTCATCAGATGGTTATCTTGAGATCTTGAGGTTATCTTGAGATGATTTCGGGGCTTTTTTTTTAGTGTCCCCGCGGCCCGGTCCTCGACCAGGCCTCCACCCCCAGGAAGCAGCCCGTCACAGCTGACTAACACCCAGGTACCTATTTTACTGCTAGGTAACAGGGGCATAGGGTGAAAGAAACTCTGCCCATTGTTTCTCGCCGGCGCCTGGGATCGAACCCCAGGACCACAGGATCACAAGTCCAGCGTGCTGTCCGCTCGGCCGACCGGCTCTCATGGTACTGGAGGGATCACCATGTTCTACAGTAAGCCTCTTGAAGACCCACCACACCACCTGACTTAGTTATCTCCTGCTGCTATGAACTTTTTCCGATAAAATGTTGACTTGGTTATCAGAAAAAGATACGTATGCCGACTGGCGAGATAACTTTCATTAAATGCAAAGTATCTGACATTTGATATTAGTCGTTGAGATGTAAGTCTCTACCTAACCACACACTCAGACCTTGAGAAAACACTCAGGAGAGTGGGAAAGACTTGGTGTAAATCTTTGCGTAAATTTCACAAATATATAAGTTTAGGATTTTATCCTATGTTATTAAGTCTGAGAAGACATTAACATTACTTATTAATGTCAATAATAAACAGACGCTATGGTTTAATTACCTCTCATATTAATGGTTGTTAAGTCCATCTAGTCAGTATAGCAAATATTTAACAGTTCAATCAGAAACTATGTTATTTAATATGTATGATACATATGTGAGAAGCACATACCCAAGGTTCTCAACACAGAAGCACACACATGTAGCGTCACACCCACACACCCACACACCTACACCCACACACCCACACACCTACACCCACACACCCACACACCTACACCCACACAGGGTCACCCACCCAAGGCACCCAGCGAGGGGCTTCTCTGCCCAGCCAGTCGCCCAGGTTGAAGAGGAGGAAGGTGATGGTGGGCTGGAAGAACACCTCCGTCCAGCGGGACTCCGGCAGGGTGGACGTGACGTAGACAGTCACAGCCGGGAAGATCATCAGGGAGACGAACAGCGTCCCACCGTACGTCGCCCCCATCAGCCACAACTGTTGCACGTCACACACATACACACGTTAAGTACCAATCTGCCTATGACTATCCTCCATCAAAGACCAGTCACCCTACAACAATTTAGTTACTCTAGCCCAGAGCGTCTGACCCCCGACCATGAAAAGATAAACCAAAAACAATCAGATTATTTTATTGATATAGGTAAACTAAATCAGGATTCTTATAAAAAAAATGGCTACGGTTCTGATGGGCAAATAAAATAAACATGTATATTCCTTAATCTTTCCAAGAAATAATGCAAATGCGGATGATTCCACCACAGGAAAATAAAAGGCGAGGGGCCTCCTGATATTCTAATTTGTTATGCAGTCAAGAATAGAAATATCACCTGGGAATACCCTCCTTGCTGCTGGAAATCTTCCCTAAAACTCTAACTCAACTGAACGGTGATGCTTCCAAATGGTAAGGAATTACATGGTTATTTATTAATATACCGTTATTTAAGCTACTTGACACTAGAGGGACAGAGTCGTCTCTGTTGACAAAGGAACGTAGCTGTGAAATCTGCTGTTTCTTAAGGAACAACGATTTTATGATCGCAAGGAGCAGCGATAGCCACGACACAACACCTGTCGCCGCTGTAATTGCAACGACAGAGGACTATCTCGGCTTCACATCTGTGCAAGCGTAACGACATGGCCGCTGCCTCTCACACTTGACAAAAAAAGGAAATAAGAACGTGGGGAAATTTGAGCAATGTCATCTCTTAAACGGGATATTTTTAAGTTATGACTCCTTGGAAGACATCAGGAGTCTGAGGACCATCTTAGAGACACCAGCTGCCAGTGTTTGTGAGACACTAACTCTATGTAATGAGAATTCGATGGATATTGGATCAACGGTTATATAGATGTGGGAAGTTCTTGCATTTATTCGAAGTAATTCCAGCAGCTGAAAGCCAGCCTTACGTGTACCTCTGAGCCTGTTCCCTATCGAGCTCAGAATCACATATGTATCTACATATGACATATGTATCTACACACGTCTTAGTTCGGGTCCAGCCCCTTAAGGAGCAGCATCATCACTTGAGTGTCATACCAGGAGAGAGCATACATGTAAATTGGTATCAATGTGTGACAGGATATATACATGTATGTTTAGAGTCTCTGTGAGGCAGACTGCATACTTAAAAGATATCCCAGTCACATATAGCAAACACGACAGGGGAATTTTAGATGATCTAATACATAGACTCTCACCATGATGTAACAGGCCAGAGGACAAGACGAGCCAAGAACCTGCAACACACCAAGCTCACGACCTTTTGTATATACGTGCTATCAAGTTGTTACTAATCCCCGAGGTGTATATACGGAACAAATTGTCTTATAGAAATTAACTTCAGCCTGGTGTTGCATTAGCAACGCTTGCATCAACACTAATACCTGAGTGTACCACCAGCAACACTTCAGTGAACCACCAGTACAACCTAAGTGTATCACCAGCGACACACGAGTGCATTTAGCAACACAGATACAAAGAAGGAGTGGCGGGGGAAGCACCAACCTTTTTAAAGACGGCGAGATAGAAGACCCAATCGCTCCTGTCTCTTGGCTGCCCTCCGGACTCCTCCTGCTCCTTGCTCCTTGACCTGCACTCATTCTTCACCTCACTGTAATAATCCTGTAAACGACGCCATGCACCTCATCAAGACAGTTGACATTTTAATTATTATTACGTGATAATTTGCCTACAAGGCAAGACAACGAATGGAGCTCCAAAGACAGGGTATGAAAACCTTAGTCATCGGGAATTCTGCACTAAAAATAGGAAACGTAGATAAAGGGTTGACTCTCCAGAGATGGGAATTGGGGGCATTGTTTACCCAATGGACAACATCATAGTTGGTAATGAGACAAAAGTTATATATGTCATATCTGGCAGTGGATGTGATGTGAGGTTAAGAGTGGAGCAGTGTTCTCTGAGCGTGTTTGGGTCCATATGTGAGCCTGTTTGGGTCCATATGTGAGTCTGTTTGGGTCCATATGTGAGCCTGTTTGGGTCAATATGTGTTCTCTGAGCCTGTTTGGGTCCACATGTGTTCTCCGAGCCTGTTGGGGTCCATATGTGTTCTCAGAGCCCGTTTGGGATCCATATGTGAGCCTGTTTCATCACGGTGAATATCCACAAAACACCAGGAGCAATACCACATTGTACCCTCACCGTCTTGGTAAGGTAGATGTAGTCGACGATGGAGAGGAGTAGGAAGCAGTCAGCGATGCCGAAGAAGATGAGGCCGCAGGAGACGGGTTCCTGCCCCACCAGGAGGGAGAGGATGCGGGCCAGGGAGGAGAAGACCCCGGCGATGGCCTGGCCGGAGTTCATGCTGTTGATACAGGTGGAGGGAAACACGCCGGCCAGGCCGTAGCTGGACCCTTGTAGCACCGCTGTAAACACTGGTCGGGCGACCGCCAGGAAAAACGTCGTGCAGTTAGTAAAGGTTGTAAATGCACCACCAAGTTACTGGTAAATGGCTTATTGTTATTCCTTGATGATGGTGATCTTGCATTACTTGTTTTTATTATTATTTAACACCATATATATATATATATATATATATATATATATATATATATATATATATATATATATATATATATATATATATATATATATATATATATATATATATATATATTAGTATATTTTGGTAGCAGTCTTTCCTGTAGACATATATTATTAAATATGACCGAAAAAGTAAGATTAATAATTCTAACACGAATTTTCTCAATCTTTCGTACATTACGCTTCACTGTTGGAGGTAAATCAAAAATCACTTCTCCAAAATTCATTTTTATTTCTAGTCTGACGCGACACGGGCGCGTTTCGTAAAACTTATTACATTTTCAAAGACTTCACAAATACACAACTGATTAGAACTTGCGTTTCCCTGATTTTATATCTACATTCGAGTGAGGTGGGAAGGGTGATGTGGCATTACATTTGAGTGAGGTGGGAAGGGTGATGTGGCATTAACACAAGACAGATCACTAGGGGATATTAATAGGGTATTAAAAGTATCAACACAAGACAGAACAGAAACAATGGGTATTGAATAGAAGTGTTTGTAGAAAGCCTATTGGTCCATATTTCTTGATGCTTCTATATTGGAGCGGAGTCTTGAGGTGGGTAGAATATAGTTGTGCAATAATTGGCTGTTGATTGCTGGTGTTGACTTCTTGATGTGTAGTGCCTCGCAAACGTCAAGCCGCCTGCTATCGCTGTATCTATCGATGATTTCTGTGTTGTTTACTAGGATTTCTCTGGCGATGGTTTGGTTATGGGAAGAGATTATATGTTCCTTAATGGAGCCCTGTTGTTTATGCATCGTTAAACGCCTAGAAAGAGATGTTGTTGTCTTGCCTATATACTGGGTTTTTTGGAGCTTACAGTCCCCAAGTGGGCATTTGAAGGCATAGACGACGTTAGTCTCTTTTAAAGCATTCTGTTTTGTGTCTGGAGAGTTTCTCATGAGTAGGCTGGCCGTTTTTCTGGTTTTATAGTAAATCGTCAGTTGTATCCTCTGATTTTTGTCTGTAGGGATAACGTTTCTATTAACAATATCTTTCAGGACCCTTTCCTCTGTTTTATGAGCTGTGGAAAAGAAGTTCCTGTAAAATAGTCTAATAGGGGGTATAGGTGTTGTGTTAGTTGTCTCTTCGGAGGTTGCATGGCTTTTCACTTTCCTTCTTATGATGTCTTCGATGAAACCATTGGAGAAGCCGTTATTGACTAGGACCTGCCTTACCCTACAGAGTTCTTCGTCGACTTGCTTCCATTCTGAGCTGTGGCTGAGAGCACGGTCGACGTATGCGTTAACAACACTCCTCTTGTACCTGTCAGGGCAGTCGCTGTTGGCATTTAGGCACATTCCTATGTTTGTTTCCTTTGTGTAGACTGCAGTGTGGAAACCTCCGCCCTTTTCCATGACTGTTACATCTAGAAAAGGCAGCTTCCCATCCTTTTCCGTCTCGTAAGTGAAACGCAGCACGGAACTCTGCTCAAATGCCTCCTTCAGCTCCTGCAGATGTCTGACATCAGGTACCTGTGTAAAAATGTCGTCAACATACCTGCAGTATATGGCCGGTTTCAAGTTCATGCCGACTAAGACTTTTTGCTCGATGGTACCCATGTAGAAGTTTGCAAACAGGACACCTAGGGGAGAACCCATGGCGACCCCATCTACTTGCTTATACATGTGTCCATCCGGGCTCAAGAAGGGTGCCTCTTTAGTACAAGCTTGGAGTAGTTTCCTCAGAATACTTTCTGGCATGTCAAGAGGAGTACAGGCTGGATCACGATACACTCTGTCGGCTATCATTCCGATTGTCTCGTCCACAGGTACGTTGGTAAACAGCGATTCTACGTCCAACGAGGCTCTTATCCCTGTGGCCCGTGCGCCCCGCAGTAAGTCCACAAATTCCTTTGGAGACTTCAGGCTGAAGGCGCAAGGAACATAAGGAGTCAGCAGGCCGTTGAGTCGCTTCGCCAGTCTGTACGTGGGTGTGGGTATCTGGCTAATGATTGGCCGAAGTGGGTTTCCAGGCTTGTGCGTCTTGACATTTCCATACGCATATCCAGGTTTATATTCCCCAATGATCTTTGGCAGGTGGAGTCCGGATTTCTTGGCGTTCACAGTTTCGATCAGTTTGTTGACTTTTGCTTTTAATTCGGCTGTAGTGTCCTTCGTTACCCTTTGGAACTTAGTTTGGTCAGAGAGTATGATGTTCATTTTCGCCAGATATTCGTCTTTTTTAAGAATGACATATATTGGCGACTTGTCACCTCTCCTGACAACTATCTCCTTGTTCTCACGAAGGCTTTTAGCTGCCGCTTTAAGCTCGGGGGACAGTATGGTGCTTCTGTAAAGGGTTCCAAAGGGTAACGAAGGACACTACAGCCGAATTAAAAGCAAAAGTCAACAAACTGATCGAAACTGTGAACGCCAAGAAATCCGGACTCCACCTGCCAAAGATCATTGGGGAATATAAACCTGGATATGCGTATGGAAATGTCAAGACGCACAAGCCTGGAAACCCACTTCGGCCAATCATTAGCCAGATACCCACACCCACGTACAGACTGGCGAAGCGACTCAACGGCCTGCTGACTCCTTATGTTCCTTGCGCCTTCAGCCTGAAGTCTCCAAAGGAATTTGTGGACTTACTGCGGGGCGCACGGGCCACAGGGATAAGAGCCTCGTTGGACGTAGAATCGCTGTTTACCAACGTACCTGTGGACGAGACAATCGGAATGATAGCCGACAGAGTGTATCGTGATCCAGCCTGTACTCCTCTTGACATGCCTGAAAGTATTCTGAGGAAACTACTCCAAGCTTGTACTAAAGAGGCACCCTTCTTGAGCCCGGATGGGCACATGTATAAGCAAGTAGATGGGGTCGCCATGGGTTCTCCCCTAGGTGTCCTGTTTGCAAACTTCTACATGGGTACCATCGAGCAAAAAGTCTTAGTCGACATGAACTTGAAACCGGCCATATACTGCAGGTATGTTGACGACATTTTTACACAGGTACCTGATGTCAGACATCTGCAGGAGCTGAAGGAGGCATTTGAGCAGAGTTCCGTGCTGCGTTTCACTTACGAGACGGAAAAGGATGGGAAGCTGCCTTTTCTAGATGTAACAGTCATGGAAAAGGGCGGAGGTTTCCACACTGCAGTCTACACTAAGGAAACAAACATAGGAATGTGCCTAAATGCCAACAGCGACTGCCCTGACAGGTACAAGAGGAGTGTTGTTAACGCATACGTCGACCGTGCTCTCAGCCACAGCTCAGAATGGAAGCAAGTCGACGAAGAACTCTGTAGGGTAAGGCAGGTCCTAGTCAATAACGGCTTCTCCAATGGTTTCATCGAAGACATCATAAGAAGGAAAGTGAAAAGCCATGCAACCTCCGAAGAGACAACTAACACAACACCTATACCCCCTATTAGACTATTTTACAGGAACTTCTTTTCCACAGCTCATAAAACAGAGGAAAGGGTCCTGAAAGATATTGTTAATAGAAACGTTATCCCTACAGACAAAAATCAGAGGATACAACTGACGATTTACTATAAAACCAGAAAAACGGCCAGCCTACTCATGAGAAACTCTCCAGACACAAAACAGAACGCTTTAAAAGAGACTAACGTCGTCTATGCCTTCAAATGCCCACTTGGGGACTGTAAGCTCCAAAAAACCCAGTATATAGGCAAGACAACAACATCTCTTTCTAGGCGTTTAACGATGCATAAACAACAGGGCTCCATTAAGGAACATATAATCTCTTCCCATAACCAAACCATCGCCAGAGAAATCCTAGTAAACAACACAGAAATCATCGATAGATACAGCGATAGCAGGCGGCTTGACGTTTGCGAGGCACTACACATCAAGAAGTCAACACCAGCAATCAACAGCCAATTATTGCACAACTATATTCTACCCACCTCAAGACTCCGCTCCAATATAGAAGCATCAAGAAATATGGACCAATAGGCTTTCTACAAACACTTCTATTCAATACCCATTGTTTCTGTTCTGTCTTGTGTTGATACTTTTAATACCCTATTAATATCCCCTAGTGTTCTGTCTTGTGTTAATGCCACATCACCCTTCCCACCTCACTCAAATGTAAT